TAATAATTTATATTTGTATATTTTATTCTATTAATTTAATTTAATTTTTCTTTGAAGAAAATACAAAATTTTCCCATGTTTAACATTATTACATAAACTTCAATCCAGAAGTTCATTAAAATGAATTTTTTTCCAAAATTAATTAACGAAAAATTTATATTTTATTGCTTATAATTTTATAATTAATAATAATATATTTACATGTGGTAATAATATAGATTTACATTAATAATAACTATATATATTACATTAATAATATACAGGATATTTCACGATTACCGCATTTTCTCTTAAGAACGTATTTTTGAAGTAATTTTGATACGAAAATCTTAATACAAAAATATCGAAGCTATAATAGTTCTTGAATTATAATTGGTTAAATATAGTGTGTAATTCGAAAATGTTACAGCCTCGATATTTTCGTAGTTAAAATTTTAGAATGTTCAAAAGAATTCAGAAATAATAATAGAGGCTATAAAAGTAAAATGGTTTTTAACTTATAACCATTTAAAGTTAGCTTATAATTGAGAGAATCGGCGGAATAAATTACAAAATCTTGATATTAATAAAAATTAAAATAACTTACTACTTTTTTTATTATACATAAATGGATATTAAATAAATTTATGTAATGCCTTTAAGAAGTTACTTGTTATAAATCTTTTCTATTATGATCAATATTATATGAAAAAGCTAATTGCCGGAAAAAGGGTCTAAGTAAAATTGTGCCTTTTCGCCCATCCTCTCAATTCGAAAAATTATTGTAATCTCGACATTTTCGTATTAGGATTTTCGTTCCAAAATTACCTCAAAAATATGTACTTAAGAATAAATGCTGTAGTTGTGAGAAACCTTGTTGTCAATAATATATTATTATTATCATTGCTTCACGATATTTCTTTTGCCGAAGAAAAATCGATTCTAGTAACTACTTTAAAAAGATATTTGATTTTCTTAAAGCATTATATAAATATGTAGAAAATTTTTTTGGTATTGTATTCTGCTTATAATATCATTTATATATAAAAAGTTTTATATCCGTGTTTTTACAATAAATATTAACAATAACATATCTAAAGGATACCTGAGATTTAATTATACGATTGAGCATCGAATTGATACAATAGTATCTAAAATTTTGTATACATAACCGGAAAATTTTTATAAGATTCTGAAAACGAATCAAGTTTCGCAATGCAAATTCAATTAATTAACTGTAATTTAACCTTTAATAAATTTCAATGATATGCTATTGCCTTCGAAATCAATCAGAATAAAGTATATTTTCTAACTAAACAGATTACAACATAATACAAACAACAATAAGATAATTGCTTACAGTGTGACCAAGAGAAATAAAAAAAATTAATATTAAAAAACAACAGCAAAAATTACGATAAGAACATGAGATTAAAGAAAATTTAAATAAAACCTGCCGCGTCGAAAGATCGATACCCAAAAGCTTTTTCAATTTCCATAATTTTTAATTATGTTAATGAAAACAAATATAAATCTATTCGTTATTTTTGGCGAAAGTTTTTTACGCAGGAAATTATAGATTTTGTCTTAACAACATTGTTAAAGGCAACAATCTGATACTTGCATGAAATAAAATTAAAACATCATGATAAAAATATTACAAGTATGATGTAACATAATTCTATAAAATATTCAACGTTGTTCCTCTCCTTCAATTTTTACTTAATTATGGACTAAATCATTGTACGTTTCATTGAACGTAATGATTTTGATGGAATCTGAAAAGCTGATTCTATTTAAGCACAGTTTTTTCCCAAGCGACATATCGGGTATCAACGTGAATCTTCCTTACACAGCGGGCTGTTGCCGATCTATTGCAAAATAATCGACTGTTCACAGCGCGGTGCGAAATTACATTTTACGATCGTCGCTAAATTAACGCTTTTGAATGGCTTTTTAGCGCCATTAGATTTAGCGAATTGCAATTATCTACACTATGCATTAATTGCGGCAGTGATAATCACTAAAGAATAAGCCTTTTATGACCTATGATACTTGTTTGTAATTTTGCGCCTACCATATCTGATGTGACGCCACATAAATTTTCACTAACATACATTTTGATATACTATTTCGCCAGTGTAATATCGATACATCATAAAATTTAACGTTTTCTTTAACTCTGAATCAATATCTCTTTGTGTATGTAAGCAAAAAATAAATACATTAAAAATTTATATTTATATTTAAAAGAATAATTTTCTCAATATATATTTAAAAATTAATATTTTTAGATTATGAAGTATTACGTTACAAATATTTGTATAAAATTTGGTAAAATTTGTATTTGTATAAACATAATGATGCCACGAAATATGTCAATTCATTAAAATTCGTTAGTACATTATACAGAGGAAAAGGTGATCTCGCCGAGAAGTTTAATAACAGTTATCAGAATCATTCGATAATATAAGATATACAAAAAAGATGTACAGAGATATTTGAAAAGTAGATTCCAAAATTCGTTCTGTCCAAAATTTGTAATTTCCAGAAAATGAAAAAGAAAGAAACTACTCACACAAGAAAACTATGCAGTTTATATATAAAATAACAATATATTAATCAGTATACGATATGGAATATTAAATAAAATTGTTAAATACTTGAAAATATTAAACAAAATTACTAAACAATGAAAAATATTAAACAAAATTGCTAAAAGTGTTAAACAAATGCATTTTGTTTGTCTTTAATTAAAAAGCGTAATGCACTTTGAAATGTCTGTATTTTTTCAGTATATAAATTTAAAAAAATGCTTTCTGAACATTTCACAGTAGCTTATAATAGTTTCTCAACACTAAACACTCCGACATCTCTAACTAAAAAAATTTTGGACAAAATTTTTGAAAGTTTGCTCCTCATTTCCTTAAGAGATTATTTTAGGATCTCTTGAAATCTCCTTTGATACTCTTGTTGCCATAAGGATTTGATATGATAAATTTTGGAAGAAAGAAGAATCTTTAAAAGATTTGAAGAATCTCTGCGATAAAGTCAAAAGAACATCCTTATAGCGTTTTCTCTTGGGATACACTGAGTGTAACCTCGCACTACACACAGTTGCGTGTAAGTTCTGCATCAGTGTTGCACTATACAAGTATACATACACTATGGAGTACACTACTTCATGCTATCGTGTTTAATTCTGTTGCCGGTTGACTTCTATTTTCAAATTTTAAATGTCACACTGGCTCTACACCGTCTCTTTGAGATCGTATAGCAAAACCGTACTTCGTGCATAAAATTTGCACTATACTATAGCCAAGGAAACACGCTACACTGTCTGAGTGTTGCACTGGTGAACGATAGTGCAGCCAAGAGAAAACACTATTAGATATTGACTTAAAATTATTCGAAAATAACTGATAAAGTAGAAACTTGTTTGCGAAACAAGTTAACCTGCAACTTCGTATTAAACAATTAATCAATTGAAAATCACGAACCCAGAATCAATATAATTGAACCAATCAAAAATCACAATCTTCTTCATCTTTCGATTTAGTTATATCATATGGTATTCAAATATGGGATACAAGTATAATTATAATGAGATTGACATATATGTGGATAACAGAGCAACTACTATTAGATGTGAGATTAATAATGTCAATACGAAAGACGTCTGCAAGTCTGTTATACTCGAGGAATTTGATGAAGACGTTAATATTTGATAGTATAAACTCAGAATTACCAATGTGGATCTATCATCGTACGTATCGATATCAATGATAAACGTTCTATTCATGATACATATCACGAATTATCGCGAGATCGTCCAAAGTTTTTGAAATAAATAAGTAATTATCGAATCGGATTACGGACCATGACTCCTTGTTTCCGATGTATAGAACTGTCGTGAGACATGTGTCGTCTTCGAGATGATGTCTCGTGGCCAAAAAAATTCCATATTGAGTAGACATTCATATTGCTGCAAAATGTTACTGTAACAAACATCTAACTTGAGTACATTTAAAGAGAAGTGTTTTTGAAAGGAAAAACTGTATGCATTTCGAATGACAATATTAAATAAACTGTTTTACATCTTATATCTTTAAATATATAATTTAAATTAAACAAAAAAAATATATAATTTAAATTAAAAATAAAAACATTATTTCTTATTTTGATCTGTCTATGTCATTCATCTTTCTTCGCTCTTTTTAACACATAATGAATTTGTCACATAAATGAATTTGTTTAAAAAATTTAATTATTCATAATTGTACGTGATATAATTAGTCAATTTTTTTAAAATTTGAATTTAAAAAAACTAATGTTTTGGGAATAGAAAAATAGTTTTATAGTAACTGAATAATAATAGCAAAATTTTAGATAATTTCAGAAATTGTATGTAAAGTGATATGCTATAACGAACTCTGTACGTAAACAAATTTTCATTTCATCTTTTCTCTCTCATTGTTTAGAAAAGCTTCTATGTTTGTTTACGAGATGGAATTGATCGAACGCGCGAAAAGTCAACAGACTCACAAGAACAAAGAAAGATTTTGAATTTCTGTTAGAAAATTGTTAACAAATATTATAATATTAATAAATTCGTATTTTTGTGACATAGACAGGAATAATCAGGTTATATTATTTTTAATAATAATAATAATTTTGATAAATAATATTAAAATTAATAATAGTCATACATACATAATATTTAAATCAACAAGAATGATAAGAAACAATGCACAAATAAGGTATAACAGTATGCGAAATACTTAGTTAATTTATATTAATTTATTAGTTTTGATTAAAATTGGAATCTATCCAATGCGAAACAAATTATAACATTAAAGCCAAAGTTTTAGAAATCGCTTCTATAAAACAAGTCGAGCAAGATAAAAATTCCGTTCTCTCAATTTTTATGATGTTATCAAACCAGTGCAAGCAAATTAAAATTTTAATGCCAGTTTAATGTTGAACTTTTCAACGCAAAAGAAAACCTGAGTGACAAATATTCGATGTATAAACGCTTGATAAATCAAATAATAAAATTGTCCATCTATAATGTATTGGGCAAGAAGCAACGTGTTTTGAAAAACACACAATTAGACGAAAAAGAAAGAGAAATTGAGAAAAATTATAAAAAAAATTGCACTTACCATTGTGACCCATTGCTGTATCACTCAAAAAATAATGAATATTTATAACAACCTGTGCGTTACTAATAAAATTTATTGAAAATCATGTCGCAAGTCACGACATTCCGAGCCAAAAGAAATGAAACAGAAAACTCAAGGGCACAAAAATAAAGATGCGAGCCATGCGGCGAGAAGATACCAAATAGCACGGATATTCAAAGAACTCTGAATATATAAACAAAAATAGAATACTACGTGACTCAAGATAGCAAAATTGCGGATAAATTTAAATCTTAGAAAGTACCAAGTATCCAAGGAAATCCTCAGGATTTCAAGATTTTTAAAATATTAAAGTAATACTTAAGAAGTAATCATTTCTAAAAAACAAATTGTGAGTTCAAGATTTATTATGTTGCCTGACGTTATATAAAAGCGACTTTCAAGAGTTTTATGGCTTTAATTTAATTGGTTATCTACTATTAAAGAAGATTTCAATCTAAATTAAAGTATTCAATAAATTAATTTTTTTTTATATAATACTTTTATATAATATTTTTATATAATATTTTATATAATATTTTAATTAATTATAATAACGTCTGCATATTTTTTGGTCTTGATTTTCTTATTAATTGCATCTCAAAATACAATACAACAAATTTTTATCGATTTTAATTTTTAAACAAATTATTATTTACTTTTAATAATAAAGTATACCTTTTTTCCATGTGAAAAAGAATCCGATTTATATTTATAATAAGGAAATAATATCCTCTGAAAAATATTAAAGTCGAACACTTCTCGAAAACTTTTACGCAAACGGCAATTTATTAATATGTATTACGATCTTTGTGGACTTCTATAAACTAAATTATTAAAAAAAAAAAATAAAGAAAAAAAGATAGGATTAACGTACTCAGTTGCTCGTGTGCGGCATTGAACTTCAAGAAGCAGAGCCGCGTTTCTTTATCCAATGGCAACACGTCGACAATCCGATTAAAACTGGCGAGCACTGCGACAATGGTGTATATGTTGTCCTCTTCCTTGTAAGTCCAATGTACGACCAACTCACCACTTAATTTATTCCAGGTGAGATTTTCCACGCGACCATTGAACTTGGCGCGCACAAAGGCTGTCATCGCACACTTGTTGACATTCCATAATGATAGCGATCCGTTCTTCCTTCCACCTATACAAAGCAAGTCGGGTACTTGCGGGTGCCAAGCGACCGCCTGTCGAATATGAACATTTTTACATTCCACTTATCGTTGAAAAAATGGGATTTGTTATAACAGTATCGGCAGTTGCCGTAAAATAAAAATTAATAACGCTTTTACGAGCAACATTTAAAGTAGGCAGATTCTTGAATTTATTTTAACAGAAAATTATTTGAAGCATCATTTTTTTGCTTGCACGGAAAGAATGGTTTTGCTGAAGTGTCTAAAAATTTAGCTGGATACAGCTCTGAAAATAAATTGTGTTAGATTATAAAATAATTATAGAGCACTAAAACTGGCTGTTAGAATGTCAAAACTTTCTGCAGCATTGTACATTATGTTTGAGAATTCTACATAAGAACCTTGATAGTCCATCAAAATTTTCAAGTCTGTATCTAACTAAATTTTTAGATACTCTAGCAAAATTATTTTTTCCGTGTTGCACTCGCAATTATAATATTCTTATTAATTATTGAATAATTATAGATTCGTGAAATAAAATTCGAGTTTGACATTTATTAAACTGTGTACCGATCATAAAATATGAATACTACTTTCGTAAAGTATTGAATGAGTAAATCTCTTTAGCTTGATGAAGATTATGATGAGATTATTGAACAGCGTTTTACCGGCTTACCTTTACAGGTTTAAAGAATCTGATATTGAAACAAGGAGTCAATTCCGACCAGGAAAATAATCGGACGATTTTGTCTTCTCCGGTCGATACAAGATACTTGTAATTTGGCGAAAAACTCAGATTCAGGATCTCGGCTTTCGTAAGCTCGAGCCTGGTGTGCAGCAATATACCCGTGTCAGGGTCAAATATTGATATTTTGCCGGCGCATCCGCTGTGAATGTAATATTATAAATTTTTCATTTATAATTTTTTTACATACATTGTATTATTATAGTCCATTATAATACGGTTTTGTTTGTTTATATTTCCGATTATCCGATTTACAAATCATAATGTCTAAATAAGCATATTATGACCTTACGATTTTTATATATACGAGTATATATAGTATATATAAATGGATTTAAGTTATGAAATTAAGATAAAAAAAATGTATTTTTTTAATCTAATATATATATACTCTATTACCGCAAAGAATTTTCGAAGAATTAAGATACTATAGCGCACAAAAAAATTTAAGCAGTAAGTAAATTAATATTTTATGGATCTATAATATTATCTTCATATAACTATGTAGTCAATTCTTTTAATTATAATCACTTACAATTTATACGTGTATACAATTATAGAATAAGCTTTAGATTTGCTACTGTTTACGTTATTATCTTACATCTCTATTACGATTGATCGATTCACTTACTGCTTACGTCTTATTGCCTTATTTTTTTTCGTGTGTCATAATTTTTAATCCTAAAATCGATATTTACGTGACGATCTGACGATCATAAGCTGACCAGCAAACGCAACGAATAGTACAGCCTTTTTCCTCCACTTGACATTTACATATGACATCCCACAAGATTTTTTGCTTTTTTAAATCGTACATCACGAGCGCCGAGGTGTAGTTTTTTAAAATTAAGATAGACATTATCAATTTATTGCCTAAAATTACATGGACAATTTATGCTTATTATCTAGATTAAAATTGGATATGTTGTATAATTATTTTCTACTTGTCTCTCAACAGACCTTAATGATGCAACAAAACATCACTTTTGCTGTTACACCTGCTAAACTTTTTTTCAACGTTAAAACGTGATATAAGAAATATGTAACTTATAAAAAGTATATTGTAATTATCGCGTAGACTTGCCGGTATCAAATTATTCGAAACAATCATTATTTGTGCGACACGTGTCACGCTTTGTATTCAAGGATGACAAGTAACATGTTACATGTAACGCTGTTTCCTATCCTTTTTGATACACTCACCGTCACTGGCCCATTTAATGTCGGTAATTTTATTGATATCATAAGTTACCGACTCACATCGGATGACACTGGATAATACCTTTTCACCGTCATTATTATATATAATCAGGTGATCATTATTGGACATAGCCAACATGTTATTGCAGCTCCAATCCATCGCCATATTCCCTTTAATATTAGAAGTCATCTGAGAGATACGGATTTAACAAGTAAATCTGAATTACTTTGAACCAATTGCGACGTACCTTGCAAAGGGACTACATTTTCGGGCACAGACAACATCTTTTCCGCACTTCCTATCAGGATCTTCTTGCGGGGTATACATTTCCAACCATCTTTCTTTTCATATTCCGAACGCGGCGGATTCCGAGCTCGTCGCACCATCGAGCTGCTAAACCGTAAAATCTTGTCTTGATCTAATTCTATCGAGAAGCATATTTTTCGATTTTATTATTAGTTTATCATATGTTTAAAAGACGAAAATAAAAAATCCTAAGCAACTAGTCCTTCTTTAGATAATGTCAAACAATCTATAATTCGCTTTTTCAGGATATTATATAAAATATATATTCAAGTTTACACTCGTGTATCAAAATACATAGCATAAAGAATTATAAACAAAATTCTATTCTGAAATCTGATGTGAATTGTTGATCGCCTAAAGTTTAGAATTCTTTTTATCTAGAAATTACAAGATACAAAACAGTAAACAGAAGAAGTATTCTAGGCGAATGTATACTTTTGTATTAATTAGTTTCATTAATTAGAACAATTATATAATTAATTGGATATACACATTTTACTATAATCAAACATTACCTGGTATTAAAACCTGTTCTAACATTATCGCACGCAAAGCTTTACGTCGGTATGTAGTATCCAGCGAATCAACCTGTTTTTTTAAAAGAATCAAAATACGGTTACGCAATTGGAAACATAAATGGATATTGTTTTGTACATTCGTACCTCTTTACAAACGTCTATTATATTCGTTTTCTCTGTTGGTTTCTCCTTCATTAACAGATAATGAGCCATATCGAAATTATAACCACGTCGAGAGGGTAAAAATCTATCCCCCAAATAGATCTGTTTCGATATCGATGTACACGCTTTGATTTTCATACAGTTTGGATGCCGAAATTTCTGCGCATTGTATTGTTCAGGATCTTCGTTGGTAGACTCTTTGGTAGCTAACAGAGGCCATTTCCGTGGAATAATCTTGATAAAACATAAAAATTGTATATATGCCCAAGAAAAAATGTTCTGTATATAATTATGTATAATTATATAAAATTACGTAAAATTATATATAATTATATAAAACATTGACGTATTTTATATACAATTATATATAATTATATATAAAATATGTACATATATGTATATAACATTTTTTCCCGGGTGTATATGTCACAATCAAAGTGTTAACTTGGTAAATGTATACATCACGCATACACAACTATTCATGATTCGCGTGGGAAAATTCGAGCGCAGATTTTTTTCCTTAAATCTTTAACATGGGAAAAACGGAACAGTTAATACATTCTCGATCAAATATCTCGTGAAAAGTTTTCTCGTTGAATAAAGCATTAGGATCTCGCAAACTGAATTGCAGTCTGCAGATATTTTAAATTTCATGAAAAAATTCCTATGTGCTCTTCAGCATCCCGGGTAGAAAAACGCGTTACATTTCCCGGATTTATTCGAAGGTCGAAGACTAATTCTCCAGCACATCAGTGTGATCGATCGATCGCCGCTCAATCGTTAGCCCGTGACCGTCGCAGCTAATTGAAAGCTTTATTCCCACGGTGAATCGGTGGAGAACACGGTGGGGCCCGAACCGGTCAGCGACGACATTATGAGATGCGAAAACGCCACGCATACGCGCCGCTCCGTTCGTGGGCCGTACCACCTGCGGCAAAACTCTGTCTCCTGCAGGGGATGCTCCTTGAAATGAGAGACAATAAATTTGAAGAACGAGAGAGAAAGAGCTGCGATAGTTGAGCTGTATGCCGCTCTCGATCTATAAACAGCATTTTTATCGTAAACGCTTAAGCAAACGCTCCACCAAGTTCAACACATTGGAATTAACTTCGACATTTAATTTGCAAACGTTCGCAAAACTTGGAACATTCGTATAAAATAGCTGCACGAGCTATTTAAAGAAATCAAGCAACGAGATTGAAGAGACAAAATTGATTCTTCCCACCATCCAGCACAGAAGGAGAAAAGATCCTACCAGACGTAAAATCCAAAATTTTCTATGTCCGAGAGCGGCCGAGTGCGGAGGGTGCCGTTGGATAATTTCTGCTGGAGGCATTATGCACGAAGGGGTAATACCTTATACCGACCATTGTACCCCCTGCGAACATCTGGCTGTCCGGGTTAGTAATGGATGGGACAAGTTACCGAACCTGATTCCCGTAGCTGGACCAATCTCATATATACACACGTTTAAAAAAGAAAAGAAAAGAGAACGCTCCTGTGCGCTCGCGTCTTATAAAATTTTAATTTGCAAGGTATTAAATAAACTCTCACGCGCATGTTTACGTTACAGGGATGAGAAGATTTATTGTTACTATTTGCAAAAGTAATATATTTAATTAATTTCAAAATTATATAATATGTAGTATAAAATTTCCAGAATTTTAAAGAAGAAAAAAGTCTCTAAAATATCGAGACGCGTTTTTGTATTATGTAAATATCTTATTAAATATGAATAAAGGACGTGGGCAGTTCCTGTTCTTTGAAAAGCTTGTTTGCTCATCTGGTTTGATCGATTTTATTGCTCTCGTGAAAGGCTTAGAAAGTCGAGATCTCGTTTCTCTTGGATATCCCAAGCGTTCAAAAAGGAATTTTAATTTTAAAACGGGATTTCGTGATGATATAAATGATAGCACCGCCGCGCCGGCCAAGTACGATCGCGCGACGCAGCGCGACGATCTAAAATCGCTCGGAGCCAAGCGACTTGTAAGCGCGACGAACTCCCTCCACTTTCGACACCCGTTACGAGCGTAGCATTAGATCGTACGTTAGACACGCGATTGGCTCCCGTCGGATGCGAAGAGGTTGGGCCAGGTGGGCCATCAGGGGGCACATGACGCTATTGGCAGCACAAACTGCCGCAAAGGAAGGGGACAAACGAGTTAGCGAATCCATAGCTTCACCATAAACGAATTATTATGCCTTGTTCGCTGGTTACCCTTATTTACGAACTCATTCCATTCGGAGAATGACTAATTAATTAATGAACTTGCCATTGATTCACGAGATGAATATATTATTGGAGCAATTACATGCATTATAGCGTAATATAAATTAGTTAAAATATCAGGTTACGCTTTATTAATTATAGAGACAAGAACACACAGTTGTTTTATATAATTTTATTTCTGCAGGAGAAAATTGCTAATAAAAAAATTAATTAAAAAATCTACAAGTATATAGAAAATGATTCTGATGACTATATCTGTAAGCATTAATTACTTTTTTATTTTTTTGTTTAATTTAATAATATTTTTATTAATTGCTTAGAAAAAGATATATGAAACATTTATTTGAATTATTTAATAATGTTAATTCAATACATATTGTTGATTTGCATATTTTTGAATATTTATTTAAGGAAAACAGATATCAAAGTATTTGGCATTAAATTTTAATATTAATCAAATCAATTAGTCAAAAAGCAGTTTGCAAATTATTTTAATATAACAAAATTAATGTGAATTTTCTATTATCTTAAATTTTAAATTAGTAAAACATTTAAGGATAACAAGTGATCATCACGATTTTTATTTCTCTCAAAATTGTCTTCTGTGAATATAGGTAATGTATAGGTTTTATTAAAATTCTGTGTTTAAATTTTCGACTAACTTTTTAGACTAAAATAATTTTAATATTATATATTCTTGCATATAAAATACAAGATATTTCTACTCCCTAAGTTCTTTAGAGTGGAATTTCACTTGAAAGAGTGAAAATTGAGTCAGTTGACCCTTGAATCAGAGTGACCCTTGAATCAGAGTGAATTTTTTAAGAGTGAAATTTTACTCTAAAAGTTTTTAGAAAATACGCACAACAGTAGAATGTGTATTGTATTCCTAATGGATGGACAAAAGCTCGTGACGCACCGGAAAACACGAGAGCGATCTTCCCGTGCGTCTTGATCGAGGGCGCGAAATGCGTGCGCCAAGATCAGGTGGGGAAGGCCCTCGGTCGGCTTCGACGGGGCGCAGGCCGCGCAGGACGCGGAATGCACGACGTAGGACGTAGGACATAGGTTTCCCGCGGGTGGGGAGTCCTCCGGTGCACAGCATCCTTCCCTCGCAGGCAGCGACGAAGCGACCGAACTGGTCCTGAAAGACACGGCGAGGGGGGCTCGTGAGCCGGGGCCGTGGCGTGGCGGGCCCCGTTTCTGGGCCCGCTGTCTGCAGCCCTCAGTCGCTCGCTGATGCTTGGACGAGCTGGAGTGTCAAGTTATCCTAGGGCAGGACTCGTCGCGATTCTGCCGATTTTTTACTTTTTGGGGGGAATGGTGGGAGAGACGAGAGGAAGATAATGATTCGCGCTCGCGCCGACTTTGGATCGACATCCGGCCGATCGTTGTTCTCTCGTTTCGCTAATCCTGAGTCGGCCGACCGAATAATTGAAACCAACTCTCGAAGAATATACTCATCGAGAATAATCCAGGATATTCGAGTTGCTAGTGGTTGTAACGGGACGGTGGAAAGAAAACATGAAATGAGTTTTCTTCTTCCTTGGATCTTGAAACAGGATCGATACGATTCGATGATCGTTATTTCGCGTCGATCCTCACATTTTCGATCTTGATCCCTGATTCCCGCTCTGTGATTCCTGATCAATGATCAATCAGTCCCTTACAGGTAGTTAACTGATAGTCTTCATCAAATTAAAAATGAAGTATCGAAATATTGATAACAAGACATAGACGTATATACAAATATTCTATCCAGAAGTGTCGATTGACAGTGCAATTTACCGTTTAATCAAATTTACTATAGATTATTACCATGTCATTACCTTGATAGTCAAGTTATCGACGTTGAAGACGACAATTTAATAACTAAAGGCACAATGAAGAAATTCCCTTCCCTTCTCCCGCAAGAAGATTACAAGATTAGATCAAAGTCTCAACTTTCTTTCGCGTTCATTTAAAAGTCGGTGCTTCCCGTAATTTATTATCGTCTTCCGCGCAAACAGGATACGTTAATATTTCATATCTTGTGTGAGATGAATTTAACTTCTGAACTCTGAAAGTGTGTAAAGCAGACGGATCTTTAAAGAAAGAAAGGCAAATGTAACTGATGTAATATTGAACAGTATTGGAGGTTATCAAACGGTGTATTTAGATGGAAAATCGACGATCTTGACATTAAACAGGACTCTGGCAGGACTTTGTGGCCGATGAAAAATATGTCGCGGCTCATCCTGGCTCGCCTCAGCGAGGCGTGGTTCGTCGGGGACGAGTTTGCCGCGAATGAGTCACATGATAAAAGATTTCTCGAACATCGGTGGATTATTGCGGGATATTTCTGGTGGAATCGCGAGCGCGTATCGCCGCTACGTGATATGATCGCGATCCTACGTAGTGAGTTTGGATGTGCGTGCCGAGTTGGATTACGCCGCGGGGTTACTCGACGGAGTGATCGAGGAAGTGGGAGTCGGCTGTGATCACCGCGCCGCGCCGCGCCGCGCCGGTCGGGATCGATCGAGCGGAAAGGCAAAAAATCATTCCGGCAAACGAGGATCCCGGAGGCCTCGCGTCGTTACAAAGATCAAGGATCAATGATCTCGGTGCGATGATTTTTCGAATTCTCCGGCGAAACACAGTTAGCCGTTTTAACATTATCCCCGGTCTCTCTTCTCAATATAATCGCGCGTAATTTCCTCGAATAAGTGAGTACGCGCGAAATGAGATCTTACGAATGTGAATTCGCACGACCTGGTCCCATCACTTCCGCTAGATGGATATTAAAAGATGAATGACTTTACGCTGCGCGCGCGCTGGAAGGAAGCGTTGCGTCTCTACTCGTGTTTTCATCGAACCGCTACTTAGACAAGAAATTTTCTCCACACAGAGAGAAAGAGAAAGAGTGATCGATAAAAAGGAAGGATTTCCTAACTTCCTGCGAGTTAGAACGTGAGAGAAAGGTTGTCTCGCAATCACCTTGTATGCTCAAACAGACGAGCGGAAA